TGGACATGAGTTCAAGTAAACTCCAAGAGATAGTGAAGGACAAAGAAGCCTGGCGTGCTGTAGTCCATGGGGTTGCAAAGAGTCAGACACAAGTTAGCAACTGAACAACAACAATGAGACCTTTGGAGGGTGGTGCGTGGAAGTAGGTATGATGGAGGGGATGTGAGAGGGCCCCCCTGCTCAAGGACAGCCTGCCTCACCTGCTCCCCAGACTGACTGATACAGGCAATAACTTGGGGGAAATGATTTTAAAACAGTAGGGAAGCTAAGAAGAGGCTGAAGATGGGGAAAGCAAGTTGCTGAGGATCCCTTAGGCTGTTGGCTGTACCATAAGCACACAGAGGAGGCTCTGCCCTGAGCCTCGGGTGACCTGGGTGACCTTGGACTTGACGACAGGTGCAGTGATGGCCATCCACCCCAGGGACATGGAAGGCAGCTGTTGGGGACCCAAGCCGGAGCGGGAACTCCAGGTCTCTCCACCCAAGTTCCTCTCCTAGAATAAGCATAGGTCCTGCTATCAGAGATACTTCCTGAGAAAACTACCAGGAAGGCAGAGAACAGAAGGCCCCACGATTAATGCCATGGATGCCGTGTGTGTCTCAGAGCACAGTGATAAGGCTCGGTAAGAATCACAGACCTGGAGACACACGAAACCTGGAGTCCCTTTGTTAACTGAACACAAACAGCACACAACACAGCTTCGTCAGAGTAGGGAAGAGAGGAAAGGGAGTAAATGAAGCACTCTAAGAAGCTGGGAAGGAAGCATGTCAGCAAGAGCAGAGGTCTTGGTCTGGCCACGGGCCTTGAGACAACCATGAGTGGGAAGTCGCCCCCTGCTCTGATGGGGCCTCAGGCAGCATCTATCTGCGGCAGTTCAGCACTGTGGGATCAAGTCCTCCGGCAAAGAGCCTTCTTTTTTTAAATTAACTTTTATTGGAGCATAGTTGCTTTACAATGTTGTGTTAGGTTCTACTGTATAGCAAAGTACATGAGTTATATATATGTGTATATATACTTCTCTTTTTTGCATTTCCTTCCAATTCAGGTCACCACGGAGCACTGACTAGACTTCCCTGTGCTATACAGGAGATTCTCATTAGTTATCTATTTTATACAGAGCATCAATAGTGTTTAAATGTCAATCCCAATCTTTCAATTCATCCCATCCCCGCCTTTTCTCGCTTGGTATTCATACCTTTGTTCTCTACATCTGTGTCTCTATCTCTGCTTTGTAAAGAAGATCGTCTATACCAAGTTTTTCAGATTCCACATATACGCATTAACATACGGTGTTTGTTTTTCTAGTTGCTGGACTCAGTATTCCTCTTCAAGGAGTGTGTCAGTAGGCGTAACTGTCGCACCCAAGGTATCCTTTCTGTATTGATTGCTCCTTCTGTTCCAGTTACAGATGTTGCCCATCAAATTTCCTATCTCCATCAAATTTCTAATCAAAAGTACTGCTCAGTTTATCACTCTAAGACACTCACAATCCCATAGCAAATGCTTCAAGACATCTAATACAGAAATTCACATTGGCCACTGTGACTCTATTTTGAACTGTCTAACATGGCTTAAATCCTGTAAGTTTCACCTAAAGTAAGTAGGAATCATAGCCCAGAAGAAAAGCCACATTATAACACCTTGGCTACTCATTAGTGTAGCTATGAAACCCCATTTCCTGTCATCTCTAGGGAGTCCAAGTTCTGCATCACACATCCTTGATCCTAACACACAGCCTGGGAGAAGGGTGTTTAGGGCTCCCCATGGTTACTCTGGGGCACACTTGCAGTGTCTATGTGGCCCTGTACATATGTGTAAGTCACTTCAGTCGTGTCTGACTCTTTGCAACCCTATGGACTGTAGCTTTCCAGGCTCCTCTGTCCATGGAATTCTCCAGGGAAGAATACTGGAGTGGGTTGCCATTTCCTTTTCCAGGGGATCTTCCTACTTAGGGATGGAACCCGGGTCTCCTGCATTGCAGGTAGATTCTTTACTGTCTGAACCAGAAGGGAAGCCTCCCATGTGTCCCTAGCAGATGTGAAATACAGATTTCGGGGGCAGCATGGGACCAGCTTGATTAGACTTCGTTCCCTTTTGTTTTTTAACTAACAGAGGTGGTGCGCTTTCAGAATGCATATGAACATGGCCTTTGGAACAATGAAAATACATCACATTCATAGTCAGTGTGTTAACACATTGTGCTCAGAGGGACAGTCAGTCTGGTTGGAAGCAGCAAGAAAAGACACTGAGTCAGCAGTCAGGGTTCTAGTCAAACTTGGTGACCCTGGCCCAGGACTTTCCACCTCTCTGGGTCTCAACTTTCTCAACTGTAAAATGGAACGGAAGACTCCATCCTTAAGTCAGCGAACTGTAAGATGAGGGAGGCACCCTATGGAGTGTGGCCAGTCTGACCCCGGATTTCGAGCTACCAGAAAGGAACAGGAGGGGGTTTCCCTAATGGCTCAGGGATAAAGAATCTGCCTGCAATGCAGCAGACGTAGGTTTGATCCCGGGGTCGGGAAGATCCCCTGGAGAAATGGCAATCCACTCCAGTATTCTTGCCTGGAGAATCCCGTGGACAGAGAAGCCTGGCGGGCTGCAGTCCCTGGGGCTGCAAAGAGTAGGACATGATTAACAACTAAACCACCAACCACCACAGACCCAGAGCAGCGCCTGTTAGGGTCGGGTTCTAGTTCACCCAACTCAGGTCTTGTATGCTCACCCCAAGCTGCAGGAAACTGGGCATCTAAAGACCCACAGGACTGGTTGAGGCAGCTCCAGGAGTGCCAGGGGTATGCCATGCAGCCCACAAACCAGATCATCTGGGAGCTTGAAAAAATTGGGGTAGGGGGAGTGTAGACCCCAAGCCCCACCCTGACCAATTCAAGAACAAGCCCAGGTAACAGAGGCCTCTTTATAAAGCCCCTCAGGTGCTTCTCCTGTGCAGCCAGGTGAAGCTCTCCCAGGATTCAATATTTCCTGACTCCTCTAAAGGTGAGTCTTCTCATCCAAGGTCCAGGTGTGCTTTTATCTGGGAATTTATTGTGTTTTCATTTTGATGATAATCTTATTTTTTTTTAGCCAGTTATAAAGTTTTCTCTTTGTTGTGGTAATTTGCAATAAGAGTTTTGTTTCCTAAATTGAACTATAAAATAAGATCAATGGGGAACTTTCCTGGCAGTCCAGTGGTTAAGACTGTACTCCCAATGCAGGTGACACAGGTTCAAACCCTGGTCAGGGAACTAAGATCTGACATGCTGTGTGGTACAGCAGAAATAAATAAATATGTAAATAAATAGATAGATAGATAAATAAAATGAAACTAAGGGGAATGTCCCGGGACCAGAGGAGTGAGGGTGCTATGAGAATTTTTTGTGAGGATTGTGTCCCTGTCTTTACTCAGGTCTGAATAACCTTGGCGAATATAGTCTGGGACTGAGAATGTAGAAGACACGTCCAGTTGTCACAGGCTGTGAGAGCAGAGAGTCAGCTCTAAGACCAGAAGTGGAGGCATAAATGTGGCCAGGGAGGAGAAGGGAGGGTGGGGGAGGAATGAGCCTCCCTCGGGGCAGGGATCAGGGCGTCCTCAGCGGGGAGACACAGCTGACATCCCTGGCGGGGGACCCATGGGTGCAAAGCTCAGAAGAGGGGAAGAACAGGTTCATTTTCAGGACTGTGTGTCCTTCCGCACAAGCAGAGCTGCCATAACAAAGCACCACACGTGAGGTGGCTTTAACTGCAGAAAAGCTTCCCTGGTGGCTCAGATGGTAAAGAATCCGCCTGCAATGCAGGAGATCTGGGTTAAATCCCTGGGTCGGGAAGATCTCCTGGAGGAGGGCATAGCAACTGACTCCAGGATTCTTGCCTGGAGAATCCCATGGACAGAGGAGCCTGTCGGGCTACAGTCCATGGGATTGCAAAGAGTTGGACAGACTGAGTGCCTAAGCACAGCACAGACTTACGATCTTACAATTCTGGAGGCTGGAAAGTCCAGGACCAAGGCATTACAGGGCTGGGTCCTTCAGGCATCTGTGAGGGAGACCCTGTGGAGACCCTGTCCATGTCTCTCTCCTTTTGGTGGTTGCTGGCCATTCTTGCTGTTTCTTATAGGATCATCACCCAGATATCTTCATTTCTATTTACATGGCCCGTGTGCATGTCTCTGTACCCAAAGGTCCCCCTTTTCATCAGGACACCAGTTACACTGTATTAGGACCCACTCTAAGGGCTTCACTTTACCTCTGTAAAAAGTCTAACTCCAAAAGGTCACATTCTGAAGTCCTAGAATTTAGGACTTCATCATATGTTTTGGGGGAGAATACAGCCCAATTTATAGCAGCATGCCCGACTCAGAAGCTTGAACTCCACCTAGGTTGGATCCTTCTCCACCCAAAATCCCCAACTTTTCTCTTTTGTGAAAGCTCAGATTATGTGGTTCTGGTACAAGCCCTCATCAACGTGCATCTTTTTGTTAGCTCATTTTGTTTGCCATTGTGTGTTTATTTTGGACAAGCAGCACCTGTGACCCAAGAGACCATCAGTCCCACAAAGTGCAGGGCAGGAGAAGGCTCTGTTTTCTGTTTTGCCCTCAAGCTGGATGAGCATCCAGTACACTGTGATCATATAAAAATGAATATGAAGTGAGTGAACAATCACACAAAACAAGCATCTAATACTGTGGTAGCTGCAAGGAAGCTGTGGGGAGGTTGATGCGGCAGCCTAGAGAGAGGTGATGTCAGCCCCTTGGGGGCAAGGGCAGGGGGAGGGGAGGGGAAAGACAGACAAAGGAGGTGATGATGAGAAACATGTCTCTAAAGGCCTCAGGGTGCTGGCAAAGGAAGACCCAAGCCACCCCTCCCCAGGGCAGCCGCTGGGCCAGCTGGCAGCATGACTCAGGCCCTGACCCTGCCACCTGTGGCCAGTGAAGGACTTTTCCCACAGGTGCTGGCCTTCGTTTCCTTCCCAGGGCAGACAGCTGGCAGGACTTCAGAACCTCAGGCATGCCTGCCAAGAGGAAGGAGGAGCTGAGCTGGCCCTGCCGTGGTGGGAAGCCAAGTGGGAGGCAGCCTGGGCCTACCTTGGGCCAGCCACCCTGCCACGGAGACCAGGGAGGCTCGGGACTGCTAGGGAGCACCCAGTCACTGGTGACTGCAGCAGGGGTGCCCAGGTCCCCTGGGGAGCAGCGTGGTGTAGGGACGGTGTTCTTCAATCCACCTAGAATCCCCCCCATTTACAGGTGAGCAAACCGAGACCTACAGAAGGAGAGATCAACAGCAGCAGCGCTGCAGGAGGTGGTGCCCAAGATCAAGGCCACCTCAGGCTTCCCTGGTGACTCAGTGGTAAAGAATCCACCTGCCAATGCAGGAGACACGGATTCGATCCCTGGTCCGGGAAGATCCCACACGCCCTGGAGCAACTAAGCCCGAGCACCACAACTTTACAGCCTTTGCTCTAGAGCCGAGGAACCACAACTCATGAGACTGCACACCCTAGCTAGAGCCCGTGCTCCACAACGAGAGAAGCCACTGCAATGAGAAGCCTGGGCATCACACCTAGAGAGTGGACCCTGTTGCCGCAATGAGAGAGAAGCCTCTGCAGTAATGAAAACCCAGCAGTCAAAAATAGATAAATAAAATCATATATGTAATTTATATGAATTATATATATATATAAAAGATCAAGGCCTCCTCTTCCATTCACCCTTAACTAAGCCCCTTGCTTCCCCAGCCTCTGACACCTGGGCTATAGAATGGGAATACACAAGGCCCCTAGGAGCTGGAGCTACAATCTGATTGATCACTGCTGTTTCCTCTCAGGACACTTTTTGAACCATCACCACCTATTTCTCCTCTGATACCCAGCTCTCACGTCCTCAATACCTCCTCTGGACACTCTTCCCAAGACGCGTGTGTTCAGCATATTTCTTGTGACTTAGATATTGTTGCCTCAGATTGGCTGATTCCTCATCCACTTTGAAACAGGGGTTTGGCTGCTGTGCTGCCTCAGGGTGACTCTTGCTTAGATAGAAAGGTGTGTCCTTTCTCTAGGCTGCAGTTTCCCAAATTTCCTGTCGGATCCCAGATTCGAAAACAGTCTTAGAAATAGATCACCAGTGTTTCCCCTCACCTGGCGCTTGGCTTGAGATGGCCACTCCAAGGGCTGATCAGAGGGACTGTTTACAGAGTTGTGGACAGGGTCAAGGGAATCCACTAGGGAGGCTAAATCACCCAGGGATTAGCAGCCCCTGGAAGCTTCTACTTTCCTAGAATCTAAAGCTTAGCCAGAGGGAGCTGTCAAGAGAGTCTAGAAAGAGCTGGGGGCCAGATGATGAGCTGCTTGAGAGGATCTGAAGCTGGCAGGAGAGAGGGGGCGGCTATCACGGGATCACAGCACAGAAGGGAGTGAGCCTGGGGAAGAAATATCCCAACCTCTCCCCTCTTTCATCTCCTTCCCATTGATGGAGGCCAACCAGAAGGCCAAGGGGTGTGCAGAGATGCTGTCCATTGAGATAGCTTCTAGGGCACAGAGCAGGAAGGAGAAGGCAGGAGAGATCTGGAATGTATTCAGCTCACTGTTAGCTTCCACTGTCCTATTCTTTCATCCAACAAGTGTTTATGGATCACCTCGTACCCATGGTGCATGGTTATGGGAGTGGTGGTAGAGGGATCCCAGGACACTTGTGGCTGTCAGAACTGTTTTTCGATCTGGTGCGTATGCATTTGTTCCCTGGTAGCTCAGATGGTAAAGAATCTGCCTGCAGTGCAGGAGACCCAGGTTCAATCCCTGGGTCAGGAAGATCCCCTGGAGGAGGAAATGTCCACCCACTCCAGTATTCTTGTCTGGAGAATTCCGTGGACAAAGGAGCCGGGCAGGATACAGTCCATGGGGCTGCAAGGAGTCGGACACGTCTGAACGACTACCACTTTGTTTCATCTTCATACCTGTGTCAAAGTTCACTAAACTGTACTTGAGTTTTAAACATAGAATTTATGTACTTTGGAGCATCTAAATTATATGTCAATTTTTAAAACAGCGGGACGGCACCTGACTATTCACCCAGGATCTCCTCTTGGCTCTGAAGCAAAAAAAAATCTCCAACCTTCAATCTCTGGGTCTTAGATGATATTGTTCAAACAAAGCTGTATTTGAACAGTGTTTATTTTACTCTTTTGAGCTCCTCCAACTGCAGGGCTTTTATAACTCTGTCTGGGNGGTTGGGAAGATCCTCTGGAGTAGGAAACGGCACCCCACTCCTGTGTTCTTCCCTGGAGCATCCCAGGGATGGGGTCGCAGAGTCAGACACGACTGAAGTGACTTAGCAGTGGCAGTATTTCTTGATACAATGATCAGTACCATTCAGGGAATTTGACTCTATGGCGAATACAGGGCAGCCTGCTCAACACAGATGACCCAGCATCATCCAGCTTGGTCCCATTTCTCCAGTGGCTGAAGCGGGTGGCAGGCAGTGGGGGCAGGTGGAGAGTGTGTGTGTGTGGGGGGGGGTTCCTGTTAGGCCCCCAGTACCCTCAGTCCCTGGGCGTGGACAAGGGCACTTCTGCAGAATGAAAGGCATGGATGTGTCCCCCTGAGAACTCCTATCCTGGCCTGCCTCCTGCCTGGGGGAGATGCAGAAACCCAAGTTTTTACTGCCCTAAAAGCACAAGTTTTACTTGTTTTACCTTACAAGTTTTACTTCACCTCCCAAAGGCCCCTAGAGCCCCAGCCTGCTTATTCCCATCCCCCACCTCCTCGCAAGGGTGCCTCCCAGGCGCACTCTTTCCCACGCTGTCCCGTCTTCCCACCTCCTGTCCCATCAGTCAGAACCCCCCACTGCCTGGCTCAGGCCCCCAAATCCTCCGGTCCTTGCAAGGGCTTTCTTCTGCAGCTAGTCTCTTGCCCCTTGTCTCCTCAGCTCGTCCCCAGCCCCTTCTTACCTTTCTAGGCATCCACCCTGGCCTTGCAGCAAGACCCAGCCCCTAACTGCGGAGCCCTGGGCGGGGTCTGGCTGCTTCTCAGGCCTTTTGGACCCCTCGTCGGTCTCCCTCACTGGTCTGCTGCTTCCTCCTGCCCTGGGAGTGGGCATTCCCAAAGGTCACTGCCAGACACCCTCCTCACCTTCCTCTTCCTCGGGGTCATCCCCTTGCCTAGTCACTTCCAACACCCCCTTAGCCCTCCCAGGCTCCAGGCAGCTCCACCAGAGTCATGCCCAAGTCAAACTCACTTGTGCCAAACCACACTCAGCCATCACCCCCATCTCCAGCTCCCTACTTTTGCCTTAACCCCCATCGGAGGGCAGAACGCCCACACCCTCTCCAGGCCCACAACCCCCGCGGCCCAGGCTCTGCTGTCCCTCAGCCACCTGGCTCCTCGGAACACTGTCGGGAGCACAGCCCTGCCCACCTCACTGGCCAGTTTGGCATCCCCAGCACTTCCCCACTATCCACCCAACAGCCCAGGAGTCTTCCCCAGGCCTCAAAGCCCCCACATTTATCACCTGAAGCTAAGATGGCTTTAGTCTCCTGTGGCCCTTCAGGCAGGACTGTTCTCTCTTCCCAGAGTGTATCCAACACTATCATTATTCCTTCCCAGTTACATTTCCTCTCTTTCAGGGCAGAGTTTGGATCTGGTTTATCTTTGTGGCTCCCCAGCTGCGGGGGCTTCCCTGCTGGCTCAGGCAGTAAAGAATTCCCCTGCAATGCAGGAGACCCAGGTTCGATCCCTGGGTTGGGAAGATCCCCTGGAGAAGGAAATGGTAACCCATTCCAGTATTCTTGCCTGGAGAATTCCATGGACAGAGGAGTCTGGCGGACTATAGTCCAGGGGGTCGCAAAGAGTCAGCCACGACTGAGTGACTAACACTCTCACACTTTCACGCACACCCCAGCTCCTACCTTTATTCCCAGTTAAGTTTCTGGGATTCAAATCATGGATCCACCACTGACTGTGACCTTGGGGAACTTTCTTTGTCTCTCTGTGCCCTGGGTTCCTCTTCTTTCAAACAGAGGTAAATTCTTTGATCATAGGGCTAAAATGGCTAATACTGATAAAGTGGTGTTGTGGTATCTGGTACATTGTAAACAACAAGTATTAACTATCACCAGTTTTTCAATGAATGACCAACATTTGACACGATCAGTTGAGGAAGCCTAAGAGAAAAAATCCACCGTAATCCTCTAGATTTGAAATTATGTCACCCTTGGTTATACCAGGGGTGACATAACTGTGAAACTATGTCATGGACTGGAGAAGGACCTTCAGATTTAGATGGGGTCGTTTGGGTCATCAATTGCATATACTGAGCCTCTACTATATACAGTATGATGTGAAAACAAATTCTCTCTGTTATTAGGGCATTTACCTTTCCAAAGAACAGCAGGGAAATCTGAAATGACAGAGAATGATTTGAAGGGGAAAAGGTGAATTAAGGGATGACATGAAGACATATGGATTGAACAAATGCCTGGGAATGCCTACTGTGTGCACAGCCTGTGCAGTATATAAGGGAGACCTCAAGACTCAACACGTAGCATCTCTGTGCTATGGGCATTCATAGGCACTTGATAAATACTTGATGAGTGGCTAGAAAGGGCCATCTAGGAGTTTCCTGGGAGAGGTAGTTTTAGGGCCAAAGATTCCCAGATTTCACAGGAATTTTCCAACTTGCCTGATGAACAGGGGCACTTATTAAATACAGTCTCCAGGGCCCCACCCCAGACCCTCCAAATCAGAATCTCTGAGGGAGGGGCCTGGGAGTGTATATATGCTCATTCACCCCCAGCATCCAGGTGGTTCTTATTACACAGAAGTTTGAGGAACACTGAAAGCAAAGATGAAGATGAGATTGGCCTTGGTCAGCCCTGGGCTGCACCCTGAAGAGTCCTTGCAAGCAGCTGAGATGACATTGCTCCTTCTCAGAACCTCACAAGGGTCCTGTTTGTTCCTCTTCTTGATCCAGGAAAAGAGATTTGCTATGAACCGTTTGGCTGCTTTTCTGATGAAAAACCATGGACTGGAACGCTTCAGCGGCCTTTAAAGTTACTTCCCTGGTCCCCCGAGGACATCGACGCTCACTTTCTTCTATACACAAATGAGAATCCAAATAACTACCAAGTAAGAAGGGCGTAAAATGACTGTATAGTGGTGGTGGGGTGGGAGAGGGTTTGGGCACCCACACTGGAGCCTTCCTGTGGTTCTCTAAGGAATAATTCATGGCCTTGGAACTTTCCAGAAGGTGCTTCCTAACCAGTGATAGAGTTAGAACTGTCTGAACTCCAGGGATCTGATGAAATCTATGGACACCCAAACTGGAAACTGACATATTCATACACTTGTGCACAGAACTTCAGGACTTCCTAGGATTAGAACCTTGTTTGGGGGAGAAAGGGGGTATGAGTAGCTTTTATGGAAAAAGCCAGGCCTTTGTGTCCCTGGGAGGGTCTGGCTTCTTTTTCACCAAGAAGTAGAGGAAGCAAAGCCCCTCAGAGTGGGGGACCGGGACACAAATCCTTCCTTAGGAGCTAGAAGGGAAGCAGGGGACATTTAATGACAAAGGAGAAAAGTTGGGGACCCTCGGAGCAATCTTCAGTTCCCAAGAAGGCTGCCAGGTGAAGACCAGCAAGCTTACTCCAGGTGCTCAGAAATGAACACGGAAAACCTGCTCAGAGATGTAGGGAACAAATGTGTGAATGCCAAGGAGGAAAGTGGGCCAGTGAGACGGATTGGGAGATTAGGGCTGACATTTATCACTGCTATGTAGAAAGTAGATACCTAGCGAGAACCTACTGAATGTACAGCACAGGGAACTCAACTCAGTGCTCTGTGGAGTAAATGGAACAACACCCAACGAAGAGAGGATGTATGACTGATTCACTCCGCCATACAGTAGAAACTAACACAGCATTGTAAAGCAACTACGCTCCAATAAAAGTTTTCTAAAAATAGGGAATGAGACTGGAGCTCCCGAAGGTGCAAGGTCATGAGAGTCCTTCTAGAACATCAGGATGTATGGACTGGACCCACCAGGGAATGACTTTCCTAAGGCAATATACCTGATTGTGCAATAAGCGCTTGCATGGAAAAAAAAAATAATTGCAAAATTAAGATTTTAAAAATTAAGAGAATTTGCTCAGAACTCAAGCAGCTCACAGCTCTGGCCCCAAACCAAGTTTGAGATAGCACTGTGTCTGGATATAGGTTCCCAGGGTCACCTATTGTGAGATTCTAGGTGACAAACCCCACACTCAGAGTCCCCATTACAAAAAAAGTAGATTAAAAAAAAGAAATTTATGCCAAAAAAAAAAAAAAAATCCTGAAAGGGAATGGTAGACGTCTGCAGATGGCCAAAGAGGTCCTGTGAGAGAGAAGCTGAGGAGCCTCTGGGCCTAAAGCAGCAGGCATGACGGGAGATACAGATTCATGGAGCAGAAAGGGCTTTAAATGCATAAAATAAAAAGCATTGGATACAAAGGAGTCATCTTCCCTGGTGGCTCAGGTGGTAAAGAATCTGCCTGCAATGCAGGAGACCCAGGTTCAATTCCTGGACCAGGAAGATCCCTTGGAGAAGGGAATGGCTACACACTCTAGTACTCTTGCCTGGAGAATTCCATGGACAGAGGAACCTGGCAGGCTACAGTCCATGGGGTCGCAAAGAGTTGGACATGACTGAGCAATTTTCACTTCACAAAGGATACTAACTATATTGGAAAAACAGTTATCAGAACATTTAAAAAGATTAATGTGGGATATGGTAATATATGGTAAAATAAGTATACAGTAATAATTAGGTGCTTTATTATCTTGCTAAATAATACAGTCTAGGGGTTGGTCTAATAACTTCTGTCATTTTAAATAGTAATGAGTACAAATGATATTTTTAAACATCTAAAACAACTATAATATTAAATGAAAATAACTGTGACTTCTGTTGGTGACAGAGTGTGGCTAAGACTACTGTGGTTTGTTGCTCATCAGTTAAAAAAGAACTGTATTTCAGTGTATAAAAATCCATAAACTTGGACATTCTGAATTCTATCTTCAAACCCAAATAGGTCAGGAACTCCTTTTCTAGCCTTACCCAGGTTCATGAGAGTTGAACCTGTGACCTCAGTCTTACGGGAATGGGCTCTAAAGGGTCTGTGGCTTGGAAAGGCCAGCATTCAAATTCACCTTTTCTCATTTAACCAGCGGATCAATATCACTGACCTAGCCACTGTCAAAGCTTCAAACTTCCAACTGGACCGCAAGACACGCTTCGTCATCCACGGCTTTATAGATGATGGGGATTCAGGCTGGCCTACTGACGTGTGCAAGGTAGGTGCCCACCCTCCTCATCTAGTGAGACAAACGCCACCAGCAGACAGAGTCAAACACTGCCACCCCGGAGGCTGGGAAACAGTGACCTTCAGGGAAAGACAGGTTCTTCCTAAAACCACCGAGGAAAACTCAGGTTCTCAGGGGCACCCACTTTCAAGTTCTCCCAACTCACCAACCTCTAGCCAAACATCTCCTTATAATGCTGAAAAGACCCAGAGTCCAATCAGAAAATCCCAGAGGTGGAGATGACAGCCAATTACCTGGCATTTGTCTCTGATGGTTTCTGTAAAAACCTCTGTGTGGCATAAAAAATGCATTATCCCCTACAGCACTGCTATCCAGTAGAACTTTCTATGATGATGGAAATCTATATCCGTGCTGCCCAAATCAGGAGCCCCTGGCCACCTGAGCTTATCGAGAACCTGACATGTGGCTAATGTGACCAAAGAACTGAATTTTAAATTTTATTTCTTTGTAATCAATTGTGAAGAGCCATGAGTGGCTAGTGGCCATGGTACTGGGCAGTGCAACTTTAAAGTGATCATGAATATTGGTAATGAATTATTATTCATGCCATCTATTTCCTGAACAGTTATCGTGACTCTGGCATTGTGCTAATCATTCCACAGTCAGTCCTTGTCCTGTTTAACCCTCCCAGCCTGGCTGTGAGGTAGGTACAGTTATGGTTCTCACTCTATAGATGAGGAAATTAAGGTCCCCCCAAAATTCAGTACTTGTCCAAAGTTGAATCCAGAGGTGGAATGCAAAACCAGGTCTTCCGTGTACAAGATACCACAACTTTGTGTGTCTACAACTTTAGCTTNTGCATCCTCTTGTAGAGCATGAGCTCAGAAGTGCGGCCCACCGGCTTAATGGTCCCACAGCATGTGGGATCTTCCCTGAGAGGGATTGAACCCCTGCCCCCTGCATTGTCAGGTGGGTTCTTAGCCACTGCACCACCAGGGAAGTTGTTTCTTTTTCCTCCCAAGGGACCAGTATCTGTGCTTGGATAATACCACATGACACAAAAGATGCATGTATCCGGTAGAGTGATATCCTACCTCTGTCTAAATTTCATCTTATCAGACTTGTCCCTCAATACAAAGCATTGTTGGGAATATAAAAGCAGCCCCTCTGTGGCTTCAACTACCTAGTATAAGAGTCTGCAAACTTTCTCGTAGAAGAGCAGGTAATAAATACTGTAGCATTTGTGGGTCACATGATTGTCGTTCATATGGTTTCTGTTGTGGCTATGAAGCAGGGGTGGGCAGTAGGTAAACAAATGGATGTGACTGTTTGCAATAAAACTTTTGAGCTTCCCAGGTGGCGTGGTGGTAAAGAATCCACCTGACAAGGCAGGAGACACAAGAGACATGGGTTCAATTCCTGGGTCAGGAAGAGCCCCCAGAGAAGGAAATGACAACCCACTGCAATATTCTTGCATGGAAAATCCCATGGACAGAGGAACCTGGGTGGTTACAGCCCATGGTGTTGCCAAGAGTAGGACACGGCTAAGTGCCTGAGCACACACAGTCATGAAAGCATGTGGATTTCTCACTCAGGTAGCAGTTTGCTAATCCCTGACGTAGTAAGTCATCTTTCTGACCTGGTTGTGGCAATGACCTTCTGTAAGACCTTAGACAGGTCACTTCGTTCCAGACCTCAGTTTCCACATCTGCTAAGTGGGAGTAAGTATATTCCCAGTTCATAGGGCTGTGGTGTGGACCAGGACAAATGTGAGGAATATTAAAGCCTTGACACAAACAAGCTAGGTGCTTGATAGACGTGAATTCCTATCACTGGAGTGTGCAACCGGTGGCTATTAACAAACTGGTTTGTCTTCCCCAGAAAATGTTTAAAGTGGAGAAGGTGAACTGCATCTGTGTGGACTGGGAACACGGGGCGTGGACAGAATATACCCAAGCCGTCCAAAACACTCGGGTCGTGGGAGCAGAGATAGCATTCTTCATACAAGGACTGTCGGTAAACCCCTGCCTGGGCCACATGCTGTGGGGAGGGGGCAGGGAGAGGGGCAGGTCAGCACCCCAGAGCACCCAGAGGCAGCCTGGGGACCCATGGGTTGAGGCAGAGCCTGGAAGCCAGGAGCCAAGAAAGGCCTTTGCTTCAGGAAGCTGCACACTTCTCCCTCCCCAGCTGTCCTGAAGATCCCTAGCTGTGAGGCCTGGGGCAGACTAGCCTCTTTGAGCCTCAGTTTCCCCTTTTGAAATAAGCCTTCCTTGAAGATTGGTCTGGGAATTGGAGAGTGAGCTGGGCTGCCCGGCAGCTCTCAGTCCAGTGGAGTCTTCATCCTTAGGGAAGGTCCGATACAGCCTTCAGGAAGGTTGATTCTGGAGAACCCCAGAGCCAGGCCCATGGACCATGCTCTGAACTGTCCCCTAAGGGTGACTCCGGGAGGGAGGCCCATGGTGGGGTGCGGATGGGAGTTCGCAGTGTGCACAGCCAGTCCTGGCCAAGGCGGCCTGCAGATGACACAGTGGCCGCTGGTCAGCACCGGTGCCCCCACAAGCCAGCTGGACCCCGGGACCTGTGGATTGCAGCCAGCGGGAGGCCGAGTCACGCTGTCCTAGGTGGCGGCCTGGAGCCAGAGGTCATTCCTCCCAAGCTTCCAGGCTGGGTCCTGTCCCTATCCCCGCTCCCCCAGAGCCAGCGCATCTCTCTACTTGTTCCTCTGGTAACTGATGCTCCACCCCTCCGCAGACTGAGCTGGGCTATGGCCCGGAGAACGTGCATCTCATTGGCCACAGCCTGGGTGCGCAACTGGCCGCGGAGGCCGGCAGGAGGCTGGGGGGCCGAGTGGGCAGGATCACAGGTAGGGGCGCAGGGTGATGTAGGATGGGGTCGGAGGGAGAGGGGGGATGGGGGAGGAGGAGGGAGGGTAACCCGGCCAGGGGGGTGATTGTTATTATTCCCACTTTCCAAGTTCAGGGAGAACAGGCACTTTGACTTAGCAGCACCAGCACTAGATGTAGGTCATCGAGTCCTGGATGCCGTGCTTCTCCCACCCTCAGCTTCTATTTGAAGGTGAAATTGTCATGGCCCCTGCCTCAGGAAGGGTTTCCCTGCTGCCTCAGCTAGTAAACAATCTACCTGCAATGCAGGAGAGCTGGGGTCGATCCCTGGGCTGGGAAAATCCCCTGGAGAAGGGAATGGTTACCTGCTCCAGTATTCTGGCCTGGAGAATTCCGTGGACTGGATAGTCCATGGGGGTCACAAAGAGTCAGAAAAGACTGAGCGACTTTTCACTCAGTGCCTCAGGAAATCCATAGTCTAGTGAAGGAGACAGACAACTAAGTAGGCAAATAAAATCCAAAGTAGAATTAACACATCAGAAGTCTATACAACAAGGAAGGGGGATGGGCCAAGAAAGGAGAAGCCACTTGTTCCATGAGGAGCTGGGGTTTGAGGAGGTCTTGGAGGAGGTTCAGATTAGGGGAGAATGTGGGAGGTGAGCTGCAGGCTGCGGGCTNCCCACACACACCGCAGGGTGGTATACAAAATAGGTAGCCACAGGAAACAGTCTGGGCACCAACCAGCCAAAATAGGTGTCAGTCACAAACCAACAGTTCAGTGCCAGTGATAACAACCCAAGGCCCCTGGCTGGACAACAGACTTCTATAGGCCATGGGAGGCTCACTCAGTCTACAAACTCTACATTCTTCCCTGGTCTGCCCATATTGAGAGTGGCAGATATATTTATTATCGATGTTTGACCTGTACTTGCAAAATGCAAAGTTAATTTTTGATTTTTTTTTCTTCTTATGGCAAAGCTTTGGTTAAAGTTTGTTTTGTGGGAGATTAAATATCATCCTTAATTCTTCTGAAATCAACATTCTTTTTGCAATATTTTCTTGCAAAACCACTCATGAAATGTGCCAGTGAAGAATATGTTTTCATGATGCTATCACTTACGGAGGGTTTACCATGTGCTGCATTGAACATCTTGTACACCTTCACTCACTAATCATTGTGACAGCCCTGAAAGAGGGTATTGTTACCATTTCATAGCTGAGGAAACTGAGGCTCAACAAGGTTAAGTGCTTGCCCAGGATCACAGATCTGTAAGTAGAACCAGAATGTGATCATGGGCCTGTGGGCTTCAAAATCCAAACCACCTACTGCTATGCTCTGGTTCTCAATACAGCAATATAATTTATGTGGTCTCAGCATAACACTATAATGTAGAAACCAAAAATTTTAAATGAGTAAAGTCATAAAAATTGCACCAGCCCTGACATATGTCTTCTGATGCATAATGGCATCAGGACACCAATAATAGTATCCATGTTGTTCAGAGTCTCTCCAAGACAGACAGACAGACACAGACACGTGTGCCCGCTTACCCAGAGCCTACCTTCCCCCTCATCTTATGTGCTCTGTTCTCTCCTCCCTTCTTGTCTTGCCAAGTGCTCATCTCTGAGAACTTTCTGCAGAGCCAGAGATAGGGAGGCCGTGCCGAGGACAAAATTTGCCAAGAAGTTTCTTGCTCCCGCTGGAAGGAGTTGAATGCTTTCTGTAGCCACCACCTGACTCTGGGACCACTTTCCTCCCCGCTCCCTGTTCACGTCTGCTGCCAATGTTTCAGGTTTTGGAACAATACAAAAGGTGGGCCACCTGGACTTCTACCCAAATGGAGGAAAGGAAATGCCTGGGTGTCAGAAAAATATCCTGTCAACCATCATAGATATAAATGGAATATGGCAAGGTATGTGAATGAGAGCAGTGAGCTCAGCTGCTCCACTTGGAGGGAAGGCAGGATGTGTGGTGTTGACAGACATTTTCACCACAGTGGCCTGAGACAGTTATTCTGGTTAGCCCCATTTTACAGACGAGGAAACTGGCTCAGAAAAGTGACAAAACGCCCAAGGCTGTCCAGTTTCCAGCTGCAAAGCCCAACCACATGCCCAGCCTGAGCCAAACCCCCTCCCTGCACCAGGATGCTGAGACATGGGCTGCCCTCGCCCATTGGCTAGGACCCAGTTCTGGCTTTGGTTCCCATGCTCTCTCCAGGGTCGGTCCCTTGAAGAACTGCAGGGTGGAAGCAAAGATGTGAATGGGTTTTGACTTTCTTGCCATTTGCTGTTGTCAGATGCTAGGAACTGAAAGGAAGTGAGTTGGTAAGAAGACAATGGGGAGGAGGAGGAGGATGTGTGCTGGGGGTTTGGAGGCACGGTGAGGAGGCAGAGGCTAGGGGTCTGGGAGAGGGGGGCTAACCTTGTGTGTGTCTCTGCTTTTCTGAGAAATCAGGCTCATAGCCCCTAATGTTACGTGACCTGAAGCACTATCGCCATCAGCCAGCCATCCGTTTTCCTGGCTTTGGGCTATTCCTGTCACTGTTCAGTGAGAACAGGCTTCCCTCTCCTCTCTGAAAGTGGAGACTTTGAGTCTGTGATCATCTCATTTCAGTCTTTATTTTTCCGAGCTGGGAGTTCCCCGAGGCCAGAGTCTGTGTCCTGGGCCATTGGGCCTCTCCTTGGTACCCTGCGCTGGCCCAGAGCAAGCTCTGGTCCACTCACTACCTTGAGTTGAGGGGCCTCCTGTAGCATCTTAAGATTGTTTCATGTGAAAGAGCAGAGTCGATAAAACAACAGCCAGCATCCATCACCAGTTGGTAGAGCCTTTGATCTCTGTACTCAGCACCAGACACCTCCTGGGGTGGGGGCGCTCTTCTGCTGATCTGCTCCCAGAATGAACACCAGAGTCACAATGTGGGCTGCCCTCTCCCAGAAGTGACAGGCTGGGCACACATAATAGGAAGGAGCCCAGGTTTAATTAGAGAGACGACAGGGAGACAGAGAACAGCCTAGATGCTGGAGCGGGTTTCTATTGTGTGCGTGCCGGTCACCCTGGCGCAGGCACTGAGGAACAATTACATCCACTTGCTCCTCTATTATGTAATCCCTGGGTAGCAATTGTGGATGAAAGAAACAATTAAGTTCGAAACAGGTTCTGTTGTCTGGTAATGAGTGCTGGTGTGGGACACGCAGGACTGGGGGCACTGTGGGGTGATAATTCTCCCCCAGCACAAATGGCAACCTTCTTTTCTCCCCCGCGTTGAGGGATAAAGCCCAGCAGACCTCCCAGAAGTGGCCACCAGGTCGGCCAGGGTCACTGTGGATCGCTCCATGGGAAGTTTGGTACCAAGTATTAATAGCTGGAGAGATTAAAAAAAGCAATTTCCCCCAACAAGAGGACTTCGGTTTAAAGAGAAAGATGGTCAATAAAATGCAGTGAGAGTGGTCAAAGGTCACGGTGACCTTGCCCTCTATTGCTTTTACTTTGTGCCTGGAGGAGTAAGAAGGAGGAATTTCTCAACCTCAGTCTCAGGTGGTAGACAGAAAAGCTGGCTTCATGTGAAAGGTGAAATATATATGTATATATATACTCAGTCACGTCTGACTCTCTCTCTCTGACTCTCTGTGACTCCATGGACTGTAACCCACCAGGCTTTTCTGTTCATGAAGTTTTCCAAGCAAGAATACTGGAGTGGATTGCCATTTCCTCCTCCAGGGGATCTTTTTGATCCAGGGATTGAACCTGTGTTTCTTGGGCCTCCTCCTTGGCAGGTGAATTCTTTACCAGTGAGCCACCTGGGAAGCCGAGAGAGAGAGAGAGATGGAGAGCGTGATCGAGAGAGAGCTAGCCACACCCCCAAAGCCCCCAAGCTTTTGCCAATCATTTACAATACATGCCTGGCCCTGGAGGATTAGATAAAGGTGCTTGTTAGAACTTCTCACTCCCCAACACTTGCCTAGCCCTGAGGAGGACCTCCCCAGAAAATGGACAGTACCAGGGAGGAGAAAGCAACTCCAGCCAACCACCACTACAAACAAGCCCCCAAATTTTCTACTTGCCAAGTATGTCGAGGTCAATGATAGAAGTTTTGAATGTGGCCAAGGTGTTCAGGAGCAGTGACACCCACCTGCGAAATGCAGAGGTGATTCCTCTCTCAGTCAGAATGGTTCAGGCTTCACAAGCTGAATGCCTCTTGTGAGCCTCTGTGGCCTTTGTCTTCTCAGGAATCCAAGACTTCATGGCCTGCAGTCACTTACGAAGCTACAGGTACTACTCAAGCAGCATTCTCAACCCCGATGGCTTCCTAGGCTACCCATGCGCCTCCTACGAAGACTTTCAGGAGGTAGGGCACACCAGGGGCCCCGGGAAGATGGTGCTGGTGGTGGTTTCGTCCCTGTGACTTGGAACAGAGCAGAGATGTAACTCCATGGCTGAAGAGAGCCTTCCTCCCCAGGAGTAGGATGGGCAAGAGAGGAACAGCACAGATCCGAACTGTACTGGGCTTTCCCTAGATCCCCAACTTTTCATTCTGGAAAATTCCCAGTGGATGCATGGATGGGTAGATGGATGCAAGCATGCATGGATCAGTGTGGGGTTCTGGGGAGCAGGCACGGAATGGATACCTGAACGGAAGGATGGATAGGTAGGTGAGAAGATGGATGAAGGATGGATGGAGGGATGGATGGAGTAGAAGATGAATTGACTGATAGAGTGAGTGATGAGTCCAAGGCCTACGACCCACAGACAAACTGTTTTCTTTCACTAGGGTGGCTGTTTTCCTTGTCCAGAGGGAGGATGTCCCAAAATGGGGCACTATGCTGACCAATTCCAGGGGAAAAGCAGAGCGGTGGGACAAACCTTTTTCCTGAACACTGGGAGCAGTGGTAACTTTACAAGTAAGTTTTCATTTTACAAATTTAAAAATTCTTGCAAATAATTTTAAAGGTGTTTCAGCTCTCACAGGACCCTCAGTAGCAATTTTAACGGAAACTCAACTCCAACCATTTTAAGCTATAATGGAAGGACAGTAGAATGGCATTTGTCTTAGGTCTCAAGTTCACCCTTTAACCAAAAATCCTGATCAATGGAATAAAGTACAGTGATTGGCCCAAGCTGGGTTACAAGTCCACTCACCCCTGTGGCCAGAAGGATGGATCCATTAACAGAAGTAGAGTGTTCAGTTCGGTTCAGTTGCTCAGTCGTGTCCGATTCTGTGCGATCCCACGGACTGCAGCATGCTAGGCTTCCCTGTCCTTCTCTATCTCCTGGAGTTTGCTCAAACCCATGTGCATCGAGTTAGTGATGCCATCCAACCATCTCATCCTCTGTTGTCCTTCTCCACCTGCCCTCAATCTTTCCCAGCATCAGGGTCTTTTCCAATGAGTCAGATGTTTGCATCAAGTGGCCATAGTATTGGAGCTTCAGCTTCAGCATCAGTGCTTCCAATGAATATGCAGGACTGATTTCCTTTAGGTGAGGTGGGGCAAAGTCGCTGTAAGTCAAGAAGTCTCCCCACTAATTATATGTCATATCAGTCCCCCTACATACACACAATCATATTGTGTTTTTGTTGTTTTGCCCAGCTTCTCATTTAAAAAATACCAGATAGTGAAATGATCAAGATTCATGTGTTGTAAGTAATGGTAACCGAATGAAGAACAATTGTTGTTCAAAGGAGTTTCAAATTTTAAAAAGTTATGTAGCACTTTATAAAACACTTCATGTGATCTTCACAATATTTGTCATGAAAGATCACAGTTCGGCAGTTTCTATAAAGTCTTACATGCATAAGACTTTAACCCAGTCATTCTTCTCAGAATTTACTTAGGAAAAATACTTGCATATGTGAATGAGAATATGTGCTCAAGAATGGACCCCGGAATGTTGTTTTTAATACCAGAAGATTGGCAGTTGGGGGAGTCCAGGGAGAGCAACCCGAATCTTAGGACACCAAACCTCACCGAAGAAAATCATTGTACATATTCACTCCAACCCCTCACCCACAGAAGACTCAGCTTGGAACAAGACTGCCTCCATAGGGTCATTTTTTTCAACAAGATGAGTTAATTTAATGATTGCATTTCTTTGGACAGGTTGGAGATATAGGGTATCCGTCACACTGGCTGGAACAAAGAAAGTGAGGGGGTACATCAGAATTGCTTTGTATGGAAGTAATGGAAACTCAAAACAATATCAAATTTTCAAGTAAGTTTGATAGTAAAGTGAAATGACCAGACTTTCCATGGTAGATTATTCATATGAGATTAGGCATAAACTGCTTTATAAACCTAGCTATCTATGATACAGAACCATTGAATCCTGAAATGTCAAAGCTGGATAGAAGTCTTAGATCTGGTTCAATCACCCCATTTACACACGAGAGGAAAGAGGGAGAACTCACTATTTAACATGAGACAAGTGCGGACTTCTTTTGAATTGTCAGTTGTTGTTTCCTGACTTAGGTTTTATGAATATCAAATTCTCCCCAGGCCAGGTGCATTTGTGTGGCAACTCCCTCCCCACCAACACACACACTTCACCCCCTACACATCCACACAAAGGAAGCCTGAGGCCACCTCCTCATTGCTGCAGGAGCCTCAGTGCCTACTTCTGCTGGGTATCTGAGGTGCTTGGTAAATGAATGTTGGACAAATGCATAACAATTCTGCAAAAGGGCTTCCCCGGTGGCTCATATAAAGAACATGCCTGTGATGCAGCAGACCTGGGTCAGGAAGGTTCCCCTGGAGAAGGGAAAGTAGTCTCCTGCATTGGCAGGCAGATTTTTTACCACTGTGTCACCTGGGAATCCCAGGGAAAAACAAAAACAGTAGAAATCTAGAGTCTAATATTTTTAAAAGTTGTATTGTTTACAAACACCTTTGTGATTTATCAGTCCCTGGATGTATACGAAGTTATACAATTTATTTGCAGAAAACAAGCAACAGTGGCTGTTGTTTGGAGAAACAATAGATTGCTATCAACCTATGTATTTATATATACACCTGATAAAATATTTTATGTCTATGTTTTCAGAGGATCCCTCCAACCAGATGCAAGTCATATGCATGACATTGATGTGGACCTCAATATTGGAAAAGTCCAGAAGGTCAAGTTCCTTTGGAACAACAATGTGATAAATCTCTTCCGGCCCAAATTAGGGGCTTCCAGAATTACAGTGCAAGGTGGTGAAGATAGGACTGAGTGCGTATCTTTTATTCCATCCAAGTTTTATTTTCTATATTTAGTGGTCAATCTGTTTACCAGTCCATCCATTCATCCATCCAATCACCAACATACCCATCTATGCATTTATCCACTGATACATTCATCCAACCCTTTGTGTTCGTCCACTTATCTGTCCACTTATCTATCCAGCCATCTATCCAGACACCTGTCGTCTCATGCTTCTGGCCATCCAGTCAACTATCCATTCATCTACCCAACAATTCATCTCAATTCTCCACCTATCCATCAATTTACTTTTGAAAAATAAATAATTTCCTTAAGCCAAACTCACGTTGGCAGGAGCAAGGCATCAGTATTTAGGGATATGTTTAAGAAGGCCTGATTCATGTTGGTGTTTGGTAGAAACCAACACAATACTATAAAGCAATTATCCTCTAATTAAGAATAAATAAATTTTTAAAAAAAGAAAAAAATAAAATCATGTAGACCCATAAAAAAAAGAAACAGGCAAATATGAAACTCTTTTATCTTAAACAATAAGGAAGACACCTGGGCAGTACTTGACGGAAACCTATGAGTTAATTTCAGCTGGGGAGCAGTTAGAAATGTAAATTGCTTTGTTTGAAGACTATGGCATGTATTGGCTCTAGCTCATAGTGGCAAACTCTTCTCATTCAGAGGGAACAGAACCTTACCTGGTAGGAGCTGGGAGAGTACCTAACTGTATCTAAAAATATGAAAAGAAAGAAGTCCACCTTAAAAGAGGATCAGAATTGCCAGGCTCAAAACCCTCTGGGTTTTTTTTGTTTGTTTGTTTGTTTGCTTTGCTTTGCTTTTGCTATTTTATTTTATTTTATTAGAGTATAATTGCTTTACAATGTTGTGTTAGTTTCTGCTATACAACAAAGTGAATCTATTAGATGCATACATATACCCCTCTCCCTCCTGAGCTTTACAATGTTGTGTTAGCTTCTGCTATACAACAAAGTGAATCTATTAGATGCATACATATACCCCTCTCCCTCCTGAGTCTCCACCCCACACTCCCATCCCACCTCTGTGTGTGTGTGCTAAGTCACTTCACCGACTCTGTGCAACCCTAGGGACTGTAGCCCACCAGCTACTCTGTCCATGGGATTCTCCAGGCAAGAATTATTGGAGTGGGTTGCCATACCCTCCTCCAGAGGGGCTTCCCAACTTAGGGATCAAACTATGAGAAGTTTCCTATGTGTCCTGCATTGGCAGGCAAGTTTTTACCACTAGTGTCACCTGGGAAGCCCCATCTCATCCTTTTAGGTCATCACAAATATCATACATTAATGCACATATATGGAATCTAGAAAAACGGTACTGATGAACCTATTTGCAGGTTAGGAATACAGACACAGATGTAGAGAACAGACATGTGGGCACAGCGAGGAGAAAGGGAGGATGGGATGAATTGGGAGGGTAGCACTGACATATATACACTACCATGTGTAAAATAGATAATTAGTGGGAAGATGATGTATAGCACAGAGACCTTGGTGATAACCCCCTGGGTTTTGAAAATCCTTGGTCTGACCACTGATTCCCTCTCAGCTCATTAAAAGTCCAAGGAGGGGAGGAGATTCTTTGAGGGGGTTTGCATTCTGAGCATCACTTAGACTCTGCCTCATGTAGCAGAGCTTTTCAGTCAAAGGGGTCTGAATTCCAGCGGGTTAGCCAAGAACTGTTTACTCACCTGAAGTCACTTTTCAACAAGCAAAAGAGCGTCATGCCAGAAATGTCTTCCTTCACAGGTATAATTTTTGCAGCAACGACACAGTGCAAGAAGATGTGTTACAAGCCCTCTACCCTTGTTAAAAATGTGGTGCCTCCTATATCTTTGTGATAATAAAATTTCAATGGCCTAGTTCTGATGTTGTTAGTTTGACATTCTGCATGTTCTGGATCACATTTTAGAAAAGATTTGGGGGACTGGAGCCAACTTGGCCACAGATAATGTCTAAAACATCCTACTGGTCCACCTCCTCCACCATCTCTCTCTTCCAGGATACTTTGTGTGGTCTGTCCTAATGGATTTTATATCCTTAGACAGTGGAATTCTCTCCTGGTTTAAAAGGTTGCTTCCACATGTTGTCCACTCAGCTTGCAGTATCCTGGGGTAGAGAGCAGACCCCACGTAAGAGCAGCCTGTGGCATGAGTGACTCTGGGAGTAATCTAGGTGGAATCTGCCTCCACCATGGAGGGAGAGGAGCTTTAAAAGAATTTACTACATGAACATGGCACAAAATGCAAATGATGCAGAAGTGAGCTTTTACCCAAGGTTCCTGTCCTTCCAGCTTTGCCCCAGGGCCTCTCACTTCCTCTTCCCAGAGACAACTCGAGTTCTCCCTGAAATATTCTCTGTATAGAATATTTGCACACCTATCTCACATATCCCAGCCCTACATCTCCCCTTTTTAAAAGAAGGATTTATAAGCTATGACAAACATAGACAGCAACAAAGATTCCCCTAGTCAAAGCTATGGTATTTCCAGGAGGCATGTATGGATGTGAGAGTCGGACCATAAAGAAGGCTGAGCACTGAAGAATTGATGCTTTCGAATTGTGGTGCTGGAGAGGATTCTCGAGAGTCTCTTGGGCAGCACAGAGATCAAACCAGTCAATCCTAAAGGAAATCAGTCCTGAAAATTCATTAGAAGGACTGATGCTGAAGCTGAATCTCCAATACTTTAGTCACCTGATGTGAAAAGTCAACTCATTGGAAAAGACCCTGATGCTGGGAAAGATTGAGGGCAGGAGAAAAAGGGGGTATCAGAGGATGAGATGGTTGAATGGCATCATCAATTCAATGGACAGGAGTTTGAGTAAACTCCAGAAGATGGTGAAGGACAGGGAAGCCTGGTGTGCTGCAGTTCAAGGGATCACTAAGAGTGAGACACGACGGAGCAACTGAACAAGTGACCTACTAATTTTTTCAGAAAAATTAAATTATCTGAAAAAATATAAGTTCTAAACATACAAGGTACTCATTCTTCTAGCTTTGATTTACTTCTTAGACGTTTTCATCTTTCTGGCCATCCAATGTTTTGTAAACCTCTTGGCATTTTGTTTTTCTTCTGGGATCCCCAAGCATTATTCAAAAACAGGGCTGCAGCCTTTTTTTTTTTTTTTTTTTTTACCATTAACCTCTAGTTGCTAAGAGACGGGAACTTGTTTATAGTAGTTCTATTGGTTCCAGGATCATAGGAACAATTCTGTATGAAGGTTTTGCCTGCTTCTTGCCTTGAATCTCTCAAATCTTGGTCTTTTAGCCTTATAGCCAAGTAGATTTTATTCCGGACAACAGTCTAGTTTTTGTACTTGCTTTCTTAGTCATTTCCCTTTTCGAACAAATGGAAGCATACAATACACACTGTTCTCACCTTGCTTTTCTCACTAACAGTAAATTTGGATCTTATTCTCCAATGGTCCAGAAGGAGTTTCTTCATTCTTTGTGTGGCCTCACAGAGTCCATCGAGGGATGTATGTGGTGTGGTTGTCCTTGCTGATGGACACAAAATTTTCCTATTAGGAATATTCATGCAATGATCCTTTTACGATATTCTAACATGATATAAACTTGTCCAAGAAATGTTTAGGATGTTTATTTTGATCAGTGTTGCCAAATTGCATTCCAATTTACATGCTGACCAACAACATGATAGGCTAAACTGTATAAAATTGTTGCTCTTGGGAGCCAAAAAAGTCAAATATTGATAATTCCATTTGGTTTGTTCTAACACGAGAGGGTTTTGCACCTTCACCAGCTTGGTAAATTGTCAAGCCTTTTGTCTATTAGGTGCCTGAAAGTGCTTTTCCCTATGTTGCAATTTGTGTTTTTTTTGTGCTAAATGAAAAGTGAATATTTTTTCAGTGTTTAGTGGCCTTCTTTGTTTCTTTTTCTGTGAATTGTCCAAATTGTGTGTTGATTTTAAGCTTTTTAAAATATAATATTTACTGTTAAGAGTTCTATAATACTAAGAAATTGGAGGACTTTGCTGGCCATCCGGTGTTAAGACTGCGCTTCCAATGCAGGAGTGAGAATTAATCCCCTGGTTGGGGAACTAAGATTCCAGATGCCATGGGGCAGGGCCAAAATAAAAGAAAATTGGAATGTTCTGTCGCAGGAAGATACTGCACCCAACTTATCCCTCTCCCTGGGAGAAAACCAGAAAGTCAGTGGGAGGGCCTAGAGCAGCCACTCACAGGGCCTGTAACTGCAGCCTGGCTGCAGGTCCTACAAAGTTTCTGCAGATGCTGTAACCGCAGGCTGCCCAGAGGACTCACCCATCTGACCTCACACCTGGTTAGGGTCAGGTTTCAGCTTTCCTTCCTGAACTGGCTAGGGCCTCGGCCTGTGTGGTCTTCATCCAAGGCCAGTGAGCGGATAGGGAGTCTGTGCCCAGAACTTAGGGGGCTCAGGGCCACCATGGGCAGAGCTGCCAGGACCTCAGCAGAGTGTGGCCCTTCCATCTTGGCCTCCTGCCCACGCTCGGTCTCCCATCGGCACCCAGCTGACCTGCTCACCCAGTTCTGGGGCCCCAGTGACTAAGTAGGCTGGTGGGAGGAAGAGGGAGGCATTTTCAGGGCCTGAGGATGGCAGAGGAGGGCACACTTATTGGGCAGAGTGGGTGTAGCCACCACTCAGTTCTGAGAATGCAGAAATGGCTCCTTTAGCAATTTTGTGAATGGCATCATGGTCGCAGGGATTGGGGATTGAAGAGAACGGCTGGTGATTCAGCCCCTGAGATTCCGAGAATGAGGCCAGAAGGAGCCTGCCCCTCCCTTTACAAGAATGCCTCTCATTTGCAGCAGAACTAAAGGGTCTGAGTTCAGTACCTTGGGGGTTTTCTTTCACTCTCCTTTTTTTTTTGTATTTTCAAAAATGTTTTTTCTTGAAGCCCTATACAGCATGTATGCTCTCAGCCTGATGCTGTGAAATAGGTCCTTGTCTGAGACCTCCTAGACTTCCTAGATCTCAATAAAACTACAAATTAAAGAACACAGGTTCTCAGCCTTGGCTAAGTAGCAGCATCTCTCAGAGAGATTAATTAAAAAAAAAACAAAAACTCACATTCAGGACACACCCTAGACTAAGTAGAATTTCTGAGTTGAGGCCCAGCATCGGCAGTTTGTAAAACTCCTGGGAGACACACAGCTAAGGCTGAGAAATGCCATGTGTGTTTGCTTCTAAAAGTTTGTAAGGACACTTTCCCATCTTTCCTCTTTTAAGTGATACAGGACTTAAATGCTCAGCTCTGAAGGAAGGGTGAGTTGGCCTTGGGTTCCCAGCTCTCTCTCTGCCTGTATCACCTGGGCTGGCTCCTTCCCTTCTCAACCTCAACACACCGGGGAATAACAGTACCTCATCTCCCCCACACAGGGTGGCTGTGACGATTAAATAAGACAGTTCAGTGCCCAGCACATGATAAACAACCAATAAAGGAAGCAGGAAGGGCAGGCAGCCGTGAGCTATTCTGTAAGAGTAACAGAGACACCAAAGATCAGGACTGAAGACAAGCATAGCCTCAGAGAAAGTATTTGAAGTGGACTCAACAAGGGATTAGTATTCAGAATACATGAAGGAAAGACTAGCCCCATAGTAAAGTGGATAAAATGACATAAGCAGGCAACACATAAAGAGATACCTGACTCACTAATGTTTGAGATTCATCTCCACTAGTCATTGGGAGGATACAAATGAATTTTTTTTTTTTAAGTACATTTAAGTGAAGTCGCTCAGTCGTGTCTGACTCTGCGACCATGGACCACAGCCTACCAGCCTCCTCTGTCCATGGGATCTTCCAGGCAAGAGTACTGGAGTGGGTTGCCATTTCCTTCTCTAGGGAATCTTTCCAACCCAGGGATCGAACCTGGGTCTCCCGCATTGTAGGCAGACGCTTTACCGTCTGAGCCACCAGGGAAGTAATTTGCACCCATCCAGTTATCCAAAATACAACTTCAGCAACAACAGAGAAGGAGCTGGGGTCCACATATATCACCATGAGTACATCTCCCAAATGTTCTGTTGAAGAGAAAAGCAAACATCAGGAAGATAGCATCTAGACACAGAGTTACCATTTATACACATTTCTGTTCTCAAAATACAGCTACTCACTGCAGATGTGGTTGTTACTGTTGTTTAGTCGCTAAGTCATGCTGGACTCTTTGTGACCCCATGGATTGTAGTACGCAATCCAGGTTCCTCTGTCCACTGTCTCCTGGAGTTTGCACAAATTCATGCCTGCTGAGTTGCTGATGCTATCTAACCATCTCATTCTCTGCCACAGATATTGTCCAAAATATCAAAACAAGGCCATTTAAAATCTTTCTTTATCAGTGGTGTCATATTTTCAATTAACAAAGGGATTTGAAGCATTATGACAAAAGGCTTATCTTGGCTAATTCCAGGTGGTAATTACAATGGTGTTGGTCAATGTTATTTTTGGTAGTTTTCACTTTTTATCCAAATTTAAGAGAAAAAAGGAGAGGGGAGTTACAATAATTTGGAGATCGGGACCTGTGACTGGTAGGAGGGGTCGCAGATGAAAGGTTTCTAAGACCCCAAGATGGTCCCCATCTGCATTTGGACTTGAACCCTGATTTATCTGTCACTGATCCCAAGACACAGAGCAAGAGCCTTTCTCCTCTTACTCCTGGGGACCTGTGTCTGTTGCACCAAAGCTCTGCATCATCAGCTTCGGACAGTCTTGTCCTCAGTGTTCTGCTGCCACCCCTTGCCAGTGGCACTACTGATGAGGACCACATCCAGCGCCCAGGCAGCACCCTGCTGGAGCCAGCCAAGACCACGCTTAAGTAAACAGCTTTATTTCTTAGCGTTTACCAGTGCAGGCACAAACCTCATAATTCTAC